CAGTCCATCTGATTTTTGACACCTTGGCAAGCGAGACAGCGTCCCTGATTCTTGATCGTCGACGGATGTCGGAACTCCAGATTCTTTCTCTCACTTGAGTGAAACGTGATATTCCAAGCATAGCTCTTTCAATTCTTCTTTGGGAGACCTGAATAGCGTTCTCATCCTGTTTGCGTAGGACCCAGGTCTCTGAGGCATATGTTAATGCAGGAAGAACAGTGGAATTAAAGAGATGTGCCCGGAGCCGGAGGTTCTTCGTCCTCTTAGCTATTTCTTCGATGCTCTTGAAGGCGTTCCAAGCCGCTCTCTTCCTCCTGCGCAGCTCAGGTGCCAGGTCATTTGTCATGTTGACTTCTCGACCTAGGTACACATAGCTGTTCCATTCGGAGATGGTCATTTTGTTGAGAGTGAATGGGGCGTCAGGAACGAGGCTGTTTCTCATAAACATTGTCTTCGTAAGATTCAGCTTTAGTCCGACCTTGCCACACTCACGGTCAAAGTCGACCAGCATTTGTGCTGCTTGGCTGATGTTTGGTGTTATTAAAACAATGTCATCAGCAAAGAGGAGGTGGTGTAGTTGCCAACCATCTATCTTCACTACCATTCCTTCCCATTCCAGTCATTGCATGATGTTCTCAAGGGTGGCACTGAAGAGTTTCGTTGAAATGGTATCACCCTGCAGAACCCCTCTCTTGACATCAATGATTACTTCTTTGTAGAATGGTGAGATCTCAAGGCCGAACTAGGCTGCCACACCGAAGGAAGACAAAAATGATTGTCTGTACTTTCAATGCACATACGCTAGCATCAGATGCATCCATCAAGGACCTGATGGTATAAGCGCAAAAGATCAATTACGACATCATTAGTCTGACTGGGACAAGAAGGCATGAATCTCACCATGCCGTTTTCAACACTGGAGAAGAATTTTTCCTCGGAACATGCGATAAAAGAGGTGTTGGAGGCGTCAGTGTCCTTGTCAACACAAACTTGGCCATGAGCATTGATTCATTCCAATGCCTAACAACCTGAATCGGACGTTTACATTTGAATAGATGGAACTCACTGCCAGCAGTTTCTATCTTCGTTGTCTACGCACCAACATCTCTTATGATGAAAGAGAAATTGAGAAGTTCTACATGGACCTGGAGAAGTTCTATAAAGAAGACCACACCTTCTACAAGATCATTGTGGGTGATTTTAATGCCAAGATAGGACCAAGAAGATCAGCTGATGAACTCCACATTGGGACCCACGGCCTAGAATGGAACAAACAGGGTGAGAGACTGTCTGAGTTCATCATGTCAACCAAGACCATCCATGGTAACTCACAGTTCCAGAAGGCAGAATCTAAACGTTGGACATGGGAGTCTCCCAGTTGATGATTCCACAACGAAATAGACCACATCATATTCAATTGATGGTTTTGCCTGACTGATGTCGCTGTTGTCCCAAAATTCCAAACGGGATCGAACCATCATCTCCTTCGTGCAAAATTCCACTTCACAGAGCAGGAAGAAAGGGCTGCAAAGTTTAAAAAGAAAACTCCCAGAACGACCACCAACTGGGAGCTCTTTGGCACTATTGCGGCAACATGGGAAGATGCCACTGTTGACAACATTGATGAGGAATACGATCGACTGGTTCAGCACCTCCATGACTGTGCAAGGAACACCAAGAGAGAGATACCCACAAAAAAATGCCTGTCTTAGAAAACTCTTGAGCTTATTCGCCAATGTGGCTTGGCGCATGCCTCAGACAACTGCAAGCTAACGTCAGAGCTCACAAAGCAATGCAGAGATGTGATCAAGGAAGACCTCAAAGAGAGAAGAGCAGAAGTGCTGGTAGATGTGGCAGAAGACGGGAAAAGTATTCGTAATGCCCGCCTGTCCTTCACCAACTACAAGACCAAGATGACTGCCCTCCGATGTGCTGATGGATCTATCACATCCTCCAGAAGGGCAATGGAGAAGATTATCCATGACTTCTACTCAACTCTCTTCGATAGCCATGTCCACTTGCCAACATACCAAAATCCACAGGATGGATATGTCATTCCCAACATTCTCCCTTCCAAAATCCGACACGCCATTTTGTCAGTAAAGAAACGAATAGCACCCAGCCCAGACAAGGTCAGACCTGAACACCTGAAGAACCTGCCGTCAGTATTCATCGATACATTGGCTCAGCTCTTCACACGCTACCTGTCTGAATGCAAGGTTCTGTCCCAATGGAAAACCTGCAGGACCGTACTACTGTTCAAGAAGGGAGACATCCATGACATTGGCAACTATCGCCCGATCTGCCTATTGTCTGTCATCTACAAGTTGTTCACTCGAGTCATCCTAAATAGGATTGGCAGAACACTAGATGAAGGACAACCATGTGAGCAAGCTGGGTTCCACAAAGGATTCAGCACCATCAACCATATCCAAATCATTGAGGTTTCTCGGGAGTTCAAGATGCCACTCTGTCTAACATTCATTGATTTAAAGAAGGCCTTTGATTCTGTTTAGATGGAAGTGGTCATTGAAGCCCTAGCCAATCAGGGCATTCAAGCCCAATACGTCAAGATCCTCCGTGAGCTGTATTGTGGATTCACTACCAAGATCTCACCATTCTACAAAGAAGTAATCATTGATGTCAAGTATGTAGAAATAATAGTGCAATTATATGCAAGCTTTTAAAACGTCTGTACACTGCTAGGAATAACCCCTGATTATAGAACCATGGGTGGCAGAAAAACAAACAAGCAAAAAAAATGATTTCTATAGTCATTGAAAGATTATCAGTTGTATATGTCTGGGTGTATATCAGTTGTATATGTCTGGGGGTGAAAAGAACAAACACAAACACAAACAGCTAACACAATATAAAGCTTATGAAGAACGCTCAAAATTGAAATATAATAAATAAATCATGATTAGTATAAAACTACAATTCATAATGTTTATGGCATAAAATAAGTTTTAAATAAGCATATGCTAAGTGACAAGATTATGTATCGCTACAGCAAAAAAACAATAGTCTCCAATACAATACAGTGATACACAGCAAACATATATTCTGTATCGATCATAAAAATTTCTTTTATCAGGATGTTTAAAATTATGAAATAATAGTAATAGTTATTTCCAAGCATGTGTAACATGTTCCTCATATGATAATCTTTTGTTAATTGAGTAGTGGGAAAAGATTCATTCCAAGTCTTTGGGTATTTTTTTTTCTGATCACCATTTTCCTTTACAATGCAAAAGCTCCTCACTTTTCTGTATGATCATTTGATTACCGGCTTCCATTTGCCAGGTAATGATATTGAATTATTTAAAATACCTTTACATTTAATGTTATGACATATTCTACCTATATTTTCCTAAATATAATCTATGTATTCAGGTCTTTAATTGAAATCTTTAATTCATTTTGATCTAAATTTTGTGCACGGTTTTAGACAGGGATCTGAATGTATTATTTTTTGCATGTGACTGATCAATTTTTCCAATCCATGTTAATATAAGAAATTATATTTTTTTGAAAATTAAGAAGCCTGGGTTCAAGTATAATGAAAGGTGGGTCAGATAGGAAGATGGTTAGTTAATTCTTTAGTGAATTGGCTAATATGGTTAATTCTTTTATGGGCTAACTTGACTGGGCTAGAGATTGCCTGGATACCTAATAAAATACGACTTCTAGGTGTCCGTGAATTTATTTCTTGGAGAGAGTAACATTTACTTTGGTGATCTAAGTAAGACTGAGGCTTCTCCCTAACATAATTAGACAAGATCTAATCTGTGGAGGTTCAAAACAGAACAAAAAGAAGAAAAAAGGAATTTCATCTGCTCTGCTTAGGCTGGTACATAAATTTCCTCTTCAGATATCAAAGCATGTGGTGCTCAGCTTTTCAGATTCACATAAGGACTTAGAATCAGCAGTTCCCTGATTTTTCAGGACTTCAGACTTAAACTGAATTATATTATTGCATATATTGGAATGAATAGAAACACAAAAATAAGGTAACTTAAAATGCACTATAAAATACAAATATAAGATTAACTTTAGGAAATTATAAAACACTAAAATGTTTCATAGCTAAAATGAAGTTATTAAATAAGAAAATACTGACATATTTTAATTGACTCAGAATGTGAGTTAAGTACTAGGCCAATAACAGATGAATAGAAAATTGATTAGCTGGAGTGCTTAACAAAATTAAATATCAAGGAAACACCACTTAATACCTCAGTAGGATACCAACACATATCCATCAGAATGGTTAAGACTTAAAAAACTGAGAGCATCATGTACTATAAAATAATTAGAACTGCTGGTGAGAACAAAAAGTTAATCAACTCATACATTCCATTCCTGGGTGCTTGTACAAGAAAACTGAAAACATCTATATAGAGACCAATACGTACATTTTTATTAAAGCCTTCTTTTCTAAAATTAAAATAATAGAAACAAGTCAATTTCCATCAATGATAAATGAGCAATAAATTGGATTGCCTTGCATCAAAAGGAAAATATTTTTAATTTCTATCAAGCCAAGGGTAATAGTATTGTTTTCCTGTTTGTTTTGTTTTGGGTCCACACCTGGCGCTACTCAGGGCTTACTACCATCTGTGTTCAGGAATCAGTACTTGTGGGCTCAGGGGACCATATAAGTGCCGGAGATCGAACCTGAGTTGGCTGCATGCAAGGTAAACACCCTAGCTGATAGATATACTACCTCTCCAGCCCCATTCTATTGAAAATTCAAGTCAACCTTATGAGAAAAGATTGAATAATAAAGAGTATAAAATTATAATAAAAGAGCAAATTTTAAAATAAAGAGTATATTTGTCTGTATCAAGATCTCAAAAATGGTTCAGAAATATTTGTATACATAAAGAAAGTTTTATATATGCCATTTTGATATAAAATAAAAGACATCATAAAATTAAAGACGGCATTACATCCTAAAAATTACTTGTTAAAAGGCACTATCTGCAACAAGCACTAAGAATTACACAGTTATTGCCAAACAGAAACCACTCTGTTAAATAATATCCTTATTGTAAAGCTTCTCTTCCTGTTACAGATAGATAACAACACTGACCAGTTGAATCCTCATGGCAGCAGTGCAGGAGAAATGTCATAAGAAAACTGTATATTAATTTCTGGAGCCTGGGGAGTAATGTCTCAGCTTCTGGACAGGATGCTTTTTCTGTGAATCTGGTATGCTAGAGGCTACCACCAACCCTATGTGACTCCTAGACTACAGAGAAAAAAAGAAATTAAGTAACCTAACAGAAAATTTTTTGAACGTGCAAAACATATTTATCAAAATAGTACAAAATAGAAATCAAAAAATCATTAGGAAGACAAAGAAAAATCTCTTCCATAACAATTACAGTACAATAACTAATAAAAAATGGAATTACTAATGTGAGAATCTTACTCCAAACTTTCTATGTAGTATATCTATGCAATACATATGACATTTAAAAAGTATCCAGACAACTAGTACAGGACTTAAGGTGTTTGCCTTACGCATAACTAACTTAGATTCAGTCCCCAGAATCCTATAATATTCCTTCAGTACTTGCAGGAGTGATTCCAAATTCAGGCCTAGGGGTAAGCCCTGAGCACCACTGAACACTGCCCCAGTGTCCCCAACCCCTCTCTCCAAGTATTCCTATAAGTCAATCAAATGACATAATACGGAAAAATGGTCAAAGAACATGATTAGACACTTCAAAGTAATGGAAACATGAAATATTCCCATAAATATGTGAAATAATATATATTACATATATCAGAATAGAAACATTTAAAATCTAAAATCAACAAATGCTTATAAACATATAACACAGTGTAAACAAGATTACTCGTCCTGAGGATATAAATTGTTACATAAAATATTTTGAGAGACAGTTTAGCAATATATAAAACATGTAGCAATGCATATACACAACTCAGTAAATCTACTCCTATTGATAAATTTTATGAATGTTATTATTTTTTCTAACCAGAAACTGTAGATGAAAATATTCATAGCAGCATTTTTATAATTGACTAAAAATAAAAATAATGGAGTGCTTGACTTACGAACTCTGGGGCCTTTATAGAATGTGGGAGGCCAGACCTCCCTCATACCTGTCTCAAAACCCAGCAGCCCCCTGCCACAAGCGACATCTTCCAGCATCGAAATAGCCCAGCTCCACAAATTAACTTCATTAATCTGCTGGGACCCGGGGCTGAGATCTCCAAGCCTGCTTGGATCGGGACTGGGCCTCCTCACCCAGATCCCCCATCTTCCAGTAGCTAGGTGTTACACCCACCAACTGCCCCCAGAGACATGTTATCCCATCAACGACCAAGACCCAGAGACTATAAAACCCAGTGTAGTTCTCACTCCTGGAGAACCCGACAGGCTACCCAGTGTACCCTGCCCGGATGGCAGAGTCTGACAAGCTCCCCATGGCGTATTCAATATGCCAAAACCCATTAACAAAGATGGGTCTCATTCCCCTGACCCTGAAGGAGCCTCCAATGTGATACTTGCTAAAATCTCAGGACAAGCATGAATGGAGATGTTAGTGGTGCCTGCTGGAGGAAATCGATGAACAACAGGATGACAGTGGTACTGTGGTACAGTGAATCTGCCAAACCACCAATTTGTCCTTGCTCTTTAGTTGCTGGGGCATGCTCCGAACTCAGCACCTCCAAATTTCATAGTATTCACAGCCCAATGGGAGCACCGCAAATTTGATGAAAAAATTGCATAAAGCCCTCCATGCTCAAACAGCTCAGTAAATCTTCAGACAATGACTTTAGTAGCACTATTTTGAGATACAACAATTATCACAAATTCTATTTTGTTGATCTATTTTTTGATAATGTTAGTTGCCGTTTTTAGTAGCAAACAATATGAATTAAATTTGGTTTTGCCTGCTAAGAGGGCAGGCTTTGAAGGTGAGTGGGAAATTAGGACCACTGGTAGAGGGAAGGTCACAGTGGTGGTGGGATTGTTTTTGTAGCATTGAATGCTGAAACAGCTGTATTCCAATACAGCTGTATTCCAGCTGTATTCCAGTTTTTATTAGTTATTGTACTGTAATTGTTATGGAAGAGATTTTTCCACATATCTTTGTCTTCCTAATGATTTTTTGATTTCTATTTTGTACTATTTTGATAAATATGTTTTGCACATTCAAAAAATTTTCTGTTAGGTTACTTAATTTCTTTTTTTCTCTGTAGTCTAGGAGTCACATAGGGTTGGTGGTAGCCTCTAGCATACCAGATTCACAGAAACAACCTTGTAAATAAATGTGTTTAAATAAAACAATTTTTGTCAGTAGTAGATGAAATAAACATTAATATAATGTTAGGTAAAAGGTAAAGGCCCTCCCATTGATCTTCGATTTGCTCGAGCGGGCCCAGTAACATCTCCATTGGAGACTTTGTTGTTACTGTGTTTGGCATATCGAATACATCACAGGGAGCTTGCCAGGCTCTGCCCCGCGGGTGAGATACTCTCGGTAGCTTGCCGGGCTCTCCAAGAGGGGCGGAGGAATCGAACTTGGGTCGGCCATGTTGGCTGCGTGCAAGGCAAACGCCCTACCGCTGTGCTATCGCTCCGGCTGGAGTAAAAGGTAAAGGTAAAGGCCCTCCCGTTGATCGTCGATTTGCTCGAGTGGGCCCAGTAACGTCTCCATTGGAGACTTTGTTGTTACTGTGTCTGGCATATCGAATACTCTCGGTAGCTTGCCGGGCTCTCCGAGAGGGGCGGAGGAATCGAACTTGGGTCGGCCATGTTGGCCGCTTGTAAGGTGAATGCCCTACCTCTGTGCTATATATAAGTTAAGTGGAAGGCAATACAATTTATAAATTATGAGCAAGATATTAACAGGATGCATTTCAAAAATAATGTTGAATCTTTTAAAGTTCTTACTTAATATAGTTATGTAATACAAATTTGAAATTTCAGACAGACTTAGACAACATGCTGTTTAGGAATAAACTTACATTGATAGCTTAAACTACCAGGCTAAGTAGAAAATGATTACCATGCACATAAGTTTGCATTTTAAAAATAACCCATAGGTTAAAGAAAGAGAAATACTGAGACAGATTAAAGGTATTGAATATTGATAGTATATTAACATTAGAAAATAAAACTGTGGAATCCTACAGTATTTCATTCTACAAATGTTTTAGAGTGGTGAACATATATATCAAGCACTGTGCTGGGTCTTGGAAGGAGCATGAGGATAAAGGAAAACTAGTTTGAGCAAGGCTTGAATGTGAGGGTTGGGAGGCAAAAAAGGAAAAAGAAAAAACTAGCTCACAAGACTTGATTTGAACTTGGACATATCCTTAATGAAAATCCAAGGAACAACACTGAGATATAAAAAGCTAATAGCAATTGGAACAAAATACTGTAAAATATAGTTTGCCTAAACTCAGGAGTAATTTATAATAAGCGAAGAACAGAACAAGGCTGGGGCTAGAGCAATAGCACAGCGGGTAGGGCTTTTGCCTTGCATGCGGCCGACCCGAGTTCGATTCCGAGCATCCCATATGGTCCCCCGAGCACTGCCAGGAGTGATTCCTAAGTGTAAAAGCCAGGAGTAACCACCCCTGAGCATTGCCAGGTGTGACCCAAAAATCAGAAAGAAAAAAAAAGAACAGAACAAGGCTGAGAGAAAAAGCTGAAGTACAGAAAGGAAATGTTAAATCATGTGAATTTATCTTCATGCATGTAATAGGGAAAACAAAGAACTTTTATGTGGCCTTGAACATTTTATAATATATTAGTTTATATATGTACTCAAATGTATGAATTTAACATACTTTACCTGAAACTATTGAGTCTATTAAATTACGTGCCTAATAATGTTGAATTTTTATATTCAAAGTGCTCTAACCATTAAAGTTATTATACAAATCGGAAATACACAATTTTTTTCAAAATTCCATGGAATGATCAAAATTTTTATTGTAATCTCTAAATAGTTTTTACTTTTTAAAAGGTGCAATAAGAATTAAAAATAAAAAAACAAAAATGTAATCAATAAAGTTATAATCATTGTGCTAAACCAATTATTGGATAATTATTGGGAAAACAACATGTCAAAATCTCGATCATGTTTTAGTTATAAAACTACATTAATCACATTTATAAGTACAAATTAATATATAGTTTTTAAATAACTCCATGTTTATCAGCTTTCCAAGTTTAAGAAAATTTTCATCACTGAACTAGACATAATTTTTATCATAGAGCTGAACTGATATAGAAGGTCTGGTTAGGAGAAATATGGTCTTATAAAGAGACTAGAGAAAAATTTAACTGATATGATTACAAATAAGAATTTGACAGATGTTATATTTTTATTATGAGATATCACTGTTATGCTAATAAATTTTAAAATTTCAAATAGATTCCTGCAAATTTTGATATGTCAAATAATTTCTCTAAAATAAAGTCAGAAGCAAAATGACTTGTGGATAAAACTTTTTAAACTTTGAAGAAACTTCTAATTCCCATACAATATGTAAATTATTTAAAAACATGATTTATTTTACAAAGGCTAAAATAACTGAGCCAATAAATCCTGACAAGAGAGGTGGGGGAGAGAGAGAGACAGAGACAGACAGAGACAGAGACAGAGACAGAAACAGAGAGAAGAAAAGTCTGCCATAAGGTAGGTGGAGGTTGGCAGGTGGGAGAGAAACTGGGGGTATTACAAATATGGGAAATATAAATTGCTGAAGGGACAGGTGTTGAAACATTGTGTGACTGAAACCCAATAACGAACAATTTTGTAACTGTATATCTCACTGTGATTCAATTAAAAAATTAAAAATAAATTCTGACAAAGATAACACAAAATCAAGCCTGCAGAAACATTTCCTTTTTGAATATATATACAAAAAAGAAATATCCTATCACAATAAAGTTTGTTGGAAAGACTTTATTTGGAAAGTTCATGCAAAATGACAGTGACTAGCACGAAGAATTGAAATTGGAAGATAGCCACAGAAGTTGTACTTAACAAAGAATAAAAATAAGATATACTCACAATTTCATACAGAAATATATATATTCCAACCAGAAAAGGAGGTTACAATGGAGTTGTGGTTAGGTTATACCAACAATTAATTGTTCATCATTCTGAAAATTGCTTAATGTGATTACTTTCAAGTGAGTTTGAGATCATTGTTTAGCTTATTATTGATAGTTTGCTTCCATAGGACAGTCTACAATGCAGACCTAAC